TGGATTCTAAATGTCTACATTAGTAACATATTATACAACTCATTGTCCTATGATTTACGATCCTTCGCCTTTTAGTAGCAATCATTTTCACTGTTGACTTTAATCTTAGTTTCTATTTCGGGCTTCCTCCTTTTTATTGTTGTTTCTTCAAGTCTATGGTTTTTGCTTTGCTTCTGTTTATCTTTTTAATCAATCTGGAAAGGAAATGATTATCTCACCCAATGTCTGGAAGTCAAGAAACTTGACTTGTCATCTGGGCACTCTCTCATGAGGTTGCTCAGGATGCTGCCTGGTGCTTTGGCCTTCTGAAAATGTCATGGGGCTGGATTGTTGGTTTTCAGCCTCACCCATGGGTCTTCAGTGTAAAGGTCTTGGTTCTTTGGTGGCTTGGTCAACGGCTCCACTCCCTAATAGTCCCTGGATAGAGTCAGCAGGCTTACCCCAGAAGGAATGATCCAGGAGAGAAGGAAAAACTATGCTAGAAGTCTCAATATCTTTTGTTGGGGGTTTGTTTTTTGAGACAAGATCTCATATAGTCCTGGCTAGTCTCAAACTCACAGAGATCTGTCTGCCTCTGCCTTCCAAGTGCTGGGATTAAAGGCGCGCGCCACCACATCCAGCAATATCCTTAATCTTGTATTTACACACTTACAGATATCTAATAAAAATATTTAGTCTTTACATTGTAAGATTGGCAGTTTTGTACATTCTCATTTTGTTTCTTTCATTTTTCAGATGGGCAATCACTCACTGTGCTACCCAGGTGGTCTTGAACTTGTAGACAGGTGATCCTCCTGTCCTGCCTCCTCCTCCCTGAGCACTGAGATGGCAGGCACACACTGCCACACACAGCCCCTTTATACTTATATATTCCACAAGTGTTTCTCATTATTTATAAGTTCTAAAATAAATCTTCTATATATTTTTATAATATTAATTTAGACTTATCAAGAACTGTAGCTAAATATTACTCTGAGCCGGGCATCTGTGGCGCACGCCTTTAATCCCAGCACTCGGGCAGAGGCAGGCGGATCTCTGTGAGTTCGAGGCCAGCCTGGTCTCCAGAGCGAGTGCCAGGATAGGCTCCAAAGCTACACAGAGAAACCCTGTCTCGAAAAACCAAAATAAATAAATAAATAAATAAATAAATAAACATTACACTGTTGATCAGCATTCCACCAGAATAAAAGAATCAATATCAGATGCTTATCCCCTGGGTAGAAGGAGTGAATTAACTCTTGAAAGTTGCCTCTGACCTCTTCCATGCTCCATGGCACATAGACACCCACACTCATAAATACACACATCAGATAAACACATACACATAATAAAATTTAATTTTAAAAATGAATTATTTATTTTGAGACAGGGTCTCTCTACGTAGCCCTGGTTGTCCTGAAACTTGCTGTGTAAACTGACTAACCATTGCACTCACAGAGATCCACCTGCCTCTGCCTCCCAAGTGCTGGGATTAAAGGCCTGCACCACCAATGCCCGGCCCAACACCACTTTCTAGTCCACTTTTCTATCAATGAAGTTTACCCATTTGTAATAAAGATCTTTGTATCGCTAACCACTTCAGTTTTGTCTTAATGGCAAAACCTAGAGCTGCTTCAGTTTTTTAGATAGCCCTGATATTTTTTAATGGTAAGGCTTAGAATTATTTCATTGTTATCAGTAATTTAATCTCTTTTTCCAAAGTTATAATCTTGGAGTCAGCTAGTTAATTTTTATATTCTCTGAGTTCTGTTTATATTCATTCTCAGTTTTCTTCTCAGGTTAAAAAAATGTTATTTGATAGAATAAAATTTTGGATATATTTATTTTATTTCATGTGTGTTGAGTGTTTTGCCTGCATGTATGTCTGTGCACCACATGTGTGCCTAATGCCCACAGTGGTCAGAAATGGGCATCAGAGTCCCTGGAACTGGAGTTAAGGATGGTTATGAGCCACAGTGTCGGTGCTGGGACTTGAACCAGGGTCTTCCATAAGAGCTCCTAACCACTGTGTCACCTCTCCACCTTTTATAGTCTGTCTATTAAAAAGTTGAAACTGAAGAGAGCAGACAAAAACACCTTGGCCTGAGGACTGCCATTTTGATTTCAGACTCCATTTTACCTGTAGGGTGAAATAAAGTTCAGGTTCCCAAGACCCAAGGGAGCTGAGAACTTTCCAATGGCTGATCAACCTCCTCCTTGAACCACAGAAATAGGCAATATGCATCTTTAGTTCTTTAGAAACAGTATTGCTGTTCCTATTGAAGGGACCAGCTCCCCATTTCGGCAGCGGTAACAGCCGAACACATGCTTGTCTGACCTTGCCTTAGTCACTAAGAGGTTAGATGCCGGCCTCGTGGCAAGGAACCAATCAGAAGTTAGCTGGTTGCACTATGCTTTACGGCTCTGGGTGTGCTTTACGGACAAGTGCACAGCAATGATGCACAGAGCATAGCAACCACCCTGGGAGGGCCTATGGGCCATAACAACCAGTTGACCAATCAACACAGGGCAAACCCTCCAAGACTGGAGGCACACCAATCCTGAACCTGTGCGTACCCCTAGACACTGCCCTTACGCTGCCCTGTAAGATCTCTGTGCAGCCGCTTCGAACTGTCTTTTCTAGGCATCCGCCATGGTGGATGGATGAAAGACCCGAGCTAACATGGGGTTAGCTCCTTAAACAACAATAAAGCCTTGTGCAGTTTGCATTGATGAGCTTTCGAATCCGCCTGGTGATTGGGGTGACTGAGGTCCTGGGCTGAGATCCTGGAGGCCTGAGCTTCCTGGGGTCTTACACTATACACAGAAGGAACAAGTGAATCTGATTGCTGGACTAAAAAGCTTGCATTGTATGTCAGTTGACAATGAAGGAACATTCAAGGAAGCCCCTAATCTTTGATTTATGTTTGGTGGAAATTGTAACTTGGCAATAAATGTTTGTGATTTTTGTGCTTATAAACCCCGCTTCTGTCCCTGCTCGGGGCTGTCAGGAGAAACAAGGCTCCTGATCCTTGTCCTGCAACCCTGGTGGATCAGTAACCTGCTCATGTTGTGAATTTATCAAAATCTTTGGAACCATAAGTGTTTCTCTCCTTCCTCATGATGCGTAACCAGTTATGTATGACAAGACAAGTTATCCAGGACTTGATTTTTTTTGTTGTTTTGTTTTGTTTTTCGAGACAGGGTTTCTCTGTGGCTTTGGAGACTGTCCTGGAACTAGCTCTTGTAGACCAGGCTGGTCTCAAACTCACAGAGATCCGCCTGCCTCTGCCTCCCGAGTGCTGGGATTAAAGTCATGCACCACCAATGCCCAGCTCCAGGACTTGATTCTTTCTCCTTTCTTCATAGTCACTAAAATCTAGGGGCTAGAGGTGTAGCTCACTGGTATAGTGCCTGCCTGGAATGTGTGAGTAATTTTGAATTTGATCACACAGGAAAAAATGAAAAGAAAACATAAATGTATATATATATATATATATGTATATATATACATACATATATATATTTTTTCATATATATTTATTTCCTAGATGTGTCTTTCTAAGTTATTCGCCATTTCACTGATTTTTTTCTTTTTACCACACCTATTTTGATTTTCACTTCTTGGCACAATTATCTCACTTAGTAATGTGATAACCATCATCAGGTATTATTTAGTAAATATATTTAAGAATTCTTCCAAGTAGTTGCACAAACCTTTAGTCTCAAAACTTGGGAAGGAGAGGCAGATCTCGAAGTTAGAGACCTGTCTGATCTACAAAGTGAGTTCCAGAACAGTCAAGTCTAGATAAGAAACCCTGGTCTACAAGAGCTAGTTCCAGGACAGTCTCCAAAGCCACAGAGAAACTCTGTCTCAAAAAAAAAAAAAAAAAGGAACCCTGTTTTGAAAAACACAAACAAACAAAAAACCTTGTTGTTTTTAGTTTCCTTTTTAAAAGTTACCTGTATTTATTTATTTATTTATTGTGTGTGTGCACACACACACATGCCATGAAACACTTGTGGAAGTCAGAGGATAACTTGTGGGAGTCAGCTCTCTTCTTTCTCCATCATGTGGTTTCTAGAGATCAGACTCAGATTACCAGGCCTGGCATCAGGCACTATCCCCCAGTGAGCCATGTGTCTGGGCTGTTGTTTTGAGATGGGGATCTCACTGTGTTTTTCATGTTGGTCTCAAACTCATGGGTTTAAATAATCTTCCTGCCTCAGTCTCCCAAGTTGTGTGACATCGCACCCAGGTTAAAACAGGGTTTCATCCTCCACGCTACTGACTCCTGACTGTGGAAAGCAGGCAACAGATGGTGGTGTGGAGCAGAAAAGGAGCTGAGAGAATTAGATTGCTGCTCCTTCTTCTCCCCTTCCTTCGACTTAAGTTACAAATGTCTTCAGGCAAACAGAAATCTGTCATTAATTTCAAAACAGTGTCTTTCAAGCAGCTTGTCAAATCTCTTAGTGGGTGCTTGTTTCCACTTACAGAATTCTTGTTTTGCAGAAGTTTAGTAGAAACAATGTCAGAACTACTGGTCTTTCTCCTTTTATGTTTGTCTAAAGGCACAAAAATATTCTTCAATAAGAAACTGAGTAGTGCCAGCCGGTGGTGGCACACGCCTTCAATCCCAACACTCAGGAGGTAGAGGCAGGCAAATTTATGTGAGTTTGAGGCCAGCCTGGTTGACATAGTGAGTTTCAGGACAGCCAGAGATACATGGAAAAACCCTATCTCTAAATAAATAAATAAATAAAAGGCTAAAAGACAAACAAACAAGAAATAATGAAAGAAAGAATCTGAGTATAGTGGCATATTTCTGTAATGCTAACACTTGGGAGATAAAGACGGGAGGATAAGAAGTTCAAGATCCTCCAACATGCAGAAGGCAGAGGCAGGTGGAACTCTGAGAGTTTGAGGCCAGCCTGGTCTACAGAGTGAGTTCCAGGACAACTAAATCATTCTTGAAAACAAAACAAAAAATAAGAAAGAAACCCAAGAAAGTCAAGGTCATTCTTGGCCATATATCAAATTTAAGACCACCCTGGGCTAATGAGATCCTATCTCAAATTACAACAAAATTCTCTGATAAAAATGTTTCAATTTTGGTTAGCTATGGTGGTTCATGCTTTTAGATTCAGCAGCTTGGGACGCTGGTGCAGGATTACCGGCCTGGATAATTCATCAAGACCACAGTTTAAAAATAAGTTATAGGTTTGTTTTTTATATTTAGTTTTTCATATATTTGGATTTTAAAAATTATTTTATTTTATCTGTATATATCTGTATGAGTGCATGCCATGTGTGTGACGGAGACCAGAAGAGGGCATTAAATTTCCTGGAGTTGTGAAGAGGCCTAACTTAACATCAGTACAGCCACGACTGGCTGCAGACTAACAATACTGTAACTAGGCCTCACCCTTACAATAACCAGGAAAAACCATAGACTGCACCCGGCAGGGGAAAAATCAGAATGGAGCCAAACAAATACTAGATACTCTAGAACATTAAGAATAGCTTACCTAACTTGTATATAGTTTGTCAATTTCCTTACAGCAACGCCAGTACCAATCCCTGTTTGATAAGACTTCTGTTACTCACTCCTGCCCAATCAGGAGTTCAACCCCCATCTGACTCTGGAATTCCCTTCCCATCCTTTACTTCTTTAAAAAACCCTGCCATAGATGAGCTTAAGGCTCTCCAATATCCAACTTCTCAAGTCCTCTGCAAAAGCAGGAGGTGATTTTTAAAGGGTTCAATTCTAATTTCTTCTTCAGTTGTGGATCATTGGCTAGTGTAATATGATTTTGACTGTATGGGGGTTTTGATGGAAAGTTTGTCATGTTGCCTTAAATGTGCATACACCTAGCTGTCCAATCTGGTCCACGGGCGGGCTCACTAGTCCTTAGGCACTTGACATGGTATGTAATACTGTGTCTGTTTGTTTTTTTAAGAGGTCTTGATATCAGTTCTTTAAACTATCTTGGCTCTTTAATCTTTCACAAGATCTAAAGGTGCTACAGAATAAGTCTATTGGTACATTGTTTGAAATTTTATTTTATTTTTTTCGAGACAGGTTTTCTCTGTGTAGCTTTGGAGCCTATCCTGGCACTCACTCTGTAGAACAGGGTGGCCTCGAACTCACAGAGATCCACCTGCCTCTGCCTCCAAGTGCTGGGATTAAAGGCGTGCGCCACCAACGCCTGGAGGAATTCTATTTTTAATATTGGATTTTTGGTCAATGGATATGGTATGTTTGTTTCTTTATTTCATTTATGTCTGTTTTTTTTTTTTTTCCTTGTTACTGCCTTGCCTTTTTGAGATAGTTTCACTATATAGACCAGGTTGGTCTCAGACTTGGGCTTCTACTTTCAGTCTTCCAAAGGCTGGAGTTACAAGTCCCTGTTCTGTAGATTCTTATGGTCTCTTTGTGCTACATCCTTGCAAACATAATTTCCTTTTCTGTATGTTTCTTGGTTATAATTATCCAGTAATTTACTGACTATCTTGAGAATAGAAGTGCAGTCAAAGTGAACATGTGCTAGTTCATTTTTTTGTTTGTTTTTTGTTTGCTGCCAACTTGACACAGCATTCTGAGAAGAGGAACCTCAATTGAGAAACTTCTGCCACCAGATTGGCCTGTGGGTGAGCATTTTCTTGATTAATTATTGATATGGGCAGGCCCAGCTCACTGTGGGCACAGTTACTGCTTGGCTAGTGTTCCTGGATTCTATAAGAGAGTAGACTGAATATGTCATAGGGAGAAAGTCAGTAAGCAGCATTCCTCCATGGCCTCTGCTTTAGTTCGTGCCTCCAGGTTCCTGCCCAGAGTTCCTGCCCTGACTTCCCTGAACGATAGATTACAAACTGTAAGCTGAAATAAACCATTTCTGCCTCAAGTTGCTCTTGGTTGTGGTGTTTACCACGACAATAAAACCCCCAACTAAGACAGGACATCATTCCCTAAAGGTCAGTCTGAGGAAGGTATAGCAGTACTCAGGAGGCAGAGACAGGAGGATCTCTGTGAGTTCAAGGCCAGCCTGGTTACATAGTGAGTTCCAGGACAGCCAGGACTACATGGAGATTCCCTATCTCAAACAAACAAAGCCAAATTAAAAAATAATGTATTTTTATTTCATTTCATGTGTGTGAGTGTTTTCCCTGAACATATGTCTGCATACCTTGTTCATGTCTGGTATTTCCAGAGACCAGATAGGGTATCAGATCCCCTGGAACTGGAGTTACAATGGTTGTGAGCTGACATGTGGGGCTGGGAATCAAACCCAGGTCCTCTGGAAGAGCAACCAATACTCTTTAACTGCTGAGCCATCTCTCCAATCCCAAACTACAAATGTTTTTCTTGTTTGTCTTTTCAAGACAGGGTTTCTCTGTATAGCCCTGGCTGTCCCAGAACTAGCTCTGTAGACCAGGTTGGTCTGGAACTCACAAAGATCTGCCTGCCTCTGCCTCCTGAGTACTGGGATTAAATGCATGTGCCACCATCCCTGCTTGACTGTAACTCTTAATGGGAAGTTTTCAAATAATTTTAAGGAACCAGTCCTAGAGATTTCATTTGTAGTCATGCAAGCCTACTTTGTTTTTGTTTCTATTTTTAGGGTTTTGTTTTGTTTTCGAGACACGGTTTCTCTGTGGCTTTTGAGGCTATCCTGGAACTAGCTCTTGTAGACCAGGCTGGTCTCAAACTCAAACTCTGCCTCCCAAGTGCTGGGTTTAAAGGCATGCGCCACCACCGCCCGGCGCAAGCCCACTTTGACAGGAAGATACGCTGTTGTTCACTGAACCCGATTGTCAATAACAAACTTCCTTTTGTTCTGCCCACTTTCCTCACTATAGCCTTACAAGGCTGGGATTCTTAATAAAAATGAGGTTTGCTTTTGTGGCACCAGGGCCACCTCTCTGCATTATTTCTCTTTCCTAATCATAGAAGCTTTGAGAGAAAGTGGGTCCCCAAACTCCTAAGGAGCACAGCCCTCTGAGGACTTGAAATTAAAGGGCTGTACATCAGCCTTACCAAGCAGCATTTTTAACATTTGCTGCTTGTGGTGGGTTTTTTTTTTTTTTTTGGGTAGGGGGGTAGCAGGGTGTTCTGAACACCTTCATGACATCCCATGCCTTTAGACACAAATTGTTAAAGACCTGGAGAAAGTTTGCCTCTAGCTGTGTGTGATTGCTCAAGCCAGTAATCCCAGTCCTTGGGGAGGCTGAGGCAGGAGTACAGATTTGTTTTCATCCCATCTGGCTAAACCTCATACTGCTTTCTGTTTCCTCTTTTTGGTCCCAAAGCCTCTTCCCTTGAGCCAGCTCTTCAATCTGTGGGGAAAGCAGATTGCCTGGAAAATTCCCCTTCTCATGAGCTTGGGTCTCTTAAGGGCCTTACCATGATGGTGACTGAGTCTACAGGGAGGCAGTCTCCAGTGGTTGAGATGCACGAACATTAAGCTGCTGAAATGCTTGCAAGCTTTCCCTAACTTCCTCTGGGTGGTTGGGAAGTGACATGGCCCCAAGCTCCCACAGTGGTGAGTGATGGGTAAACAGAGCCTGGCCATTGTCTGCTTAGCAGCAGCAACTAGGAGAGGAAGAAAGTGTGGGTTTGGAGTGTGGGGGAGTGGACAGAACTACGAGAAGCAGTGTCTGGGTGTGGCATTGAATGTGAGAAATACTTAAATTACATCTGTGTGTAGAGTGTGTTAAGTGTGTGTGTGAGAGAGAGAGTGTGTGAGTGTGTGTGTGTGTGTGTGTGTGTGTGTGTGTAGGTCAGAGGACAACATGCAGGAGTCCATTCTCTCTGTCCATTGTGTGGCTGCTGGAATCAGTCTTGCATCATCAGGATTGGCAGCAAACATCTTTACCAATGGAACCATCTGGACAGGCCAGAAATATTTTTAAGGCATATTATAAATAGGCATGAAACCACTGTCCCCACTTTGTGGTATGGAGGAGTAAACCTAGGGCTTTGTAGTTGTAGGTAAGTGCTTTACCACTGTGATTTTTCTCCAAGCTCCTCCCTCCTCACACACACACACTTTTTTTTTTTTTTCTTTTGAGACATGATCTCACTAAGTTGCTCAGGCACACTAGGAACTCTGTGTAGCCCAGGCTGGCCATTAGTATTTGAATTTGTGGGATTTTTGAAGTTTGTAAAATGTTTTATATTGTGATATTGATGTTAATATGGACCCTGGGGATGAACAGCAAAGGAAAGGTTACAGCTTAACATCGGCATGTTTGTGGGTCAAGATGACAAGGGGTCAATTGTCCTGGCTAGTTTTATGTCAACTTGAGACAATCTAGAGTTATTTGAAAGAAGGAAACCTCAACTGAGACAATGCATCCATGAAATCCTATTGTAGGGTATTTTCTTAATTAGAGGTTAATTAGAGGGCCCAGCCCACTGTGAGTGGTGCCATCCCTGGGCTGGTGGTCCTGGGTTCTATAAGAAAGCAGGCTGAGCAAGCCAGAAAGCAGCACCCTCCATGGCCGCTGCATCAGCTCCTGCCTCCAGGTTCCTGCTCTGCTTGAGTTCCTGCCCTCACTGCTCTTGATGACGAATTGTTATATGGAACTGTGAATGAAATAAACCCTTTCCTTCCCGAGTTGCTTCGGTCGTGGTGTTTTATCACAGTGACAGCAATCCTGGCTAGGAACTCGCCCTCCCTGATGCCGCCGTGCAGAGGGCACTCAGTAGATGTGGCCCCACAATCTTGGACTTCCTAAGAACCACATTCCAAAGAAATCTTTTTTTAAAAAAAAAATATGTAATTTTCCAAGTCGGTGGTATTCTGAACAGTTAGGATGAACACAGGGAACTTTCATTAGTGAGTCGTGGAAGTTCCTCCTTTTTCCTTATATGCAGGAAGGGGCTTGTGGAGGGGAGCCTATAAGGTGTGTGTGTGTGTGTGTGTGTGTGTGTGTTTCGAGACAGCGTTTCTCGGTATAGCTTTGGAGGCACTCGCTCTGGCTGGCCTCGAACTCACACAGATCCGCCTGCCTCTGCCTCCTGAGTGCTGGGATTAAAGGCATGTGCCACCAATGCCCGGCAGTTGTGAATATTTTTGACTATACCTTTTTTTTTCATTTATATAGTTTGTTTATGATTTTGAAAATTATGTGTTGCTGGGCTCATCATAGAAGGTCAGATCTGGTATGTGTCTTGTTTGGTATTACAATTTAAGATAGGTAGGTACACATATGAAGATCCAGCTAACAACAGAAAGCCAAACCTAGAACTGTGACAGTGGGCTGGAAGTATAGCTGATGATAAAGAGTGTTTAGCATGTGCCAGGCTCTGGGTTCTCACCCCAACACCAAACAATAAGAACACTAGCAAAATAGGACTAAGATGGTTTTGTCAAAAGCAAGTAAATTTTAGGGATAAAGATGTAGTTCATTGGGTGGACCGCTTGCCTATCATATACACAAGGCCCTGATTCGATCCAGCACTGTAAAAACTGGACAGGAGGACCGATACTTCAAGATCATTCTCAACTACACAGAGTCTGAAGCCAGGTTGGACTACCCGAGACCCTGTCTCTAAACAAATAAAATTTCAAGTTGATAACTAGAGGAAACTTGGAAAAAGGAGTTTAGAGTTTAGTGTTGAGGGGGAGCAGTTTAGCTAGCAGATTCCCAAAGGGCATATTGAGCTTATATAATCTATAGCTTGTTGGGAAGAACTTTTTGATGAATAAAAGTCCAGGGCTTACAGGGCCCTGGAAAGGGGAACGGATACCAATTAGATATGTTTCTTCTACCCTGGCAAATCATAACATCTCAGATCTGTGGCTGCAGGTGTTCTAGCAGGATGCTGACTACCGGAGGTGGTTGCTGCAGTGTGCTCCATATGCTGGGCTCAGGCCCCCTTGAAGATTGATTGTCACTGTAGGAATCTGTAGTTGGGAGGCCCTTGTAGATCTGGGAAACCAGATACCATCAGCACTGGTTTCTGTTGAACATCTAGGTATGCAGTCAGGACAGCAGGAAGCAAGCACAGAAGGCTGCTGCAGGAAGAGTGCCCAGCTGGGCAGGATGGGGCCACTAGGCCTAGACACAGCAGACTCGGCATCTTTTTTGAAGAGTGGGGAGCATGCGATTGATACCAGTTTTTCAAACCACAAAACACACCAGAGCTGAAAGCATGGCCTCGGTTGTGTTGGATCAAGACATTAAAAGGTGGCCAGTTCCAGGCCTGCCCGTGTAGCAGCCCTCTTCATTCAGAAGGTCTAGCAAGCTTGGGCTCATTGAAGGATAGTGGGGCAGTTCTTTGTGTCAAAGAACTGATAACCCAAGATACAAGCATGTTAAATAGCACTGGCCTGGCCTAAGGTTCAGTGGTTTCTTGGGGCTAACGTGATGAAAAGAGTGTTAGGTTTTTGTTTAAATTAGAAATAAAAGAAAAGGAGTCGCAAGGGTGAGACACAGGATGAGATATATTAGACATACTAACCAGTTTACTATAGGCCCGGCAGAGTAGGGAGACTAAAGGAGAAGAGAAACAGGGTTAATGGCTGACTGCTATAGCCGGTCGCCATAGAGAGAGCAGAGAGAGAGCGAGTAGGTGGGAGAAGAGATGAGAAGGAGAGAGCAGAGAGAGCGTAAATGGGCAGGGATCTGTCTTTTAAAGGGGTCCTCTGCACCTGCGTGCAGACTTAGTTCCCATGGAACCCTGGGCTGACCAGGGTACTGCCTGTTCTGCCAGGTAACAGGGGCAGGCCAGCATAATGCCTGAACCTTTCAAGGAGACCACACCCAGACCCTCCTCGTGCTTGCATGGCAAGCCCTTGACCGATTGAGCTGTCTCTCCAGCTCAAGTCAGCTTAAGAAACCCTTGCACATCTGAGGACACTTTCCTGGTGTCTTCAGGAAAATTCATTTGCTTAGGTATAAAATACATTTTTTGTGCAAATAAACTTAATGTGTGGCTTAATAGAAGATAGCTACATTCTCATATATTCTTATATTCCATTCATTATATTGTCTCAGAAAAAGAGAAGAGAAGCTGGCCAAGCTGGCCTCTCCCAAATATAGAATTGGGAAACAAATTTTTATCTTCTCAGCTAATTCTGGGTGTTCTTTCTTGGCACTGTACTAAAGCCGAAGAAGGATTTGTTCCTTAAAACACGGTAGCCACATGACACTAAGAATATCACTGAGCCTCCTGCTGCACACAGAACCCTCTGGTCTATATTTTCAGAAGTGGAAAAGGAATCTTTCCCTGTGCACAATTTTGTGTCGACCATGTACTTGGCCAACTGGAAAATAACGGTTCACTGAGTTGTATATCTTGCAAATGTTTGCACATTTCATTAAATGATATCAAAGCAGTCACAATCATTTATGTGACCATAAGGCTCATCAGAAAACACTTCCAAGTCCTAGGGATCTAAGCCCAGAGAGACAGGTGCAGCTCTCCCAATGCTTGAACTTTCACCTCAGGTCTCATCTTGATTTCTGGTGCTGGGGACTGAACACAACACCTCATATGCAAGGCAATCTTCACCACCAATAAATCGATGACTTAAAATATCAAAGTTCCTCACTAGCAACAAACACTCAGTTGTTTTCTTTGAAATAATAGGACTGTTTTATTCATTTTCAGGAGACAACGACACTACCTGGAAATAGCAGGCAGGTTAGATTGAAGCTCACACCCCTGTGCCCTTGATCCTCCAAACAATAGGAGGCAGGGGGATTTGTGGATAATCCCTGGTTTTTCTGTGGAATAAGATGAAAATGTAGATTCAGGTTCAAACCCAAGCATCCAGGACACTCCTCTTTCCCTGTGAGTGTGTGAAAGTGACGACCTGTATAGTTGGTACTGTGGCATAGACCAACTGCACAAAACACCACCAAGAAGGAAGCCAACAATGAGCTAGTTTTACAGTGAAAATGGTTTTGACTCCACAAACCCTGAACAATTTCAAAGACCCAAAGGGGCTCATAGATGAGGCTTTGAAAATACCTGTTTTACTACATTCTCTTGGCTTACTTTGGACCAAGAAAGTCATAATTTTTTCTTCCCCCGGATTGACATCTATTTTCCGTAGGTATCTTATATTTGGCATTATAGGAAAAATTGAAATCAAAAATAATATTTTTTTCTTTATCACTGACTGCTTTTGTACCTGGATCTAGTTAACTTTTTCTCAAATATAATGATCTTTGAGCTAGAAGTTTAAAAACTTTTCTATTTTACTTCCTTTCCATTCTTCCCTCTAATCAGGAACAGCAGCAATTTTTTTAAAATTAGTTTTATTTTGTTTTCGTGTGTAAGAGTTTTGCCTGCATGTATGTACATGCACCATGTGCATGCTTGGTGCCCACAGAAGCCAGAGGAGGACATTGTATCACCTACGACTAGAATTATATAGATGCTTATGAGCCAACGTTTGTTGCTGGAATCAAATCTGGTTCCACCAGAAGAGCTGATGCTATTAACCACTGAGTGGTCTCTCCAGCCCCTAGGAACAATCATAATTCTTGAATTAAATGTTTTCTGTCCTCAACTGCCATAATCCTTTTCTCATCATTTCATTCATTGAAAATTTTTATTATACTTATTTATTTTGTGTGGGAGGATGCCATGGCAACATGTGGAGGTTAGAGGACAGCCCAAAGACATTGGTTTTCTCTTTCTACCATGTGGGTCCTGGAATTGAACTCAGACCAATGGGTCTTCAGGCTTGACAGCAGGCACCTTTATCCGCTGAGCCATCTCGCCACCCCTTTTCATTCTTTTCCCTTTTTCTCAGCAAGTTAGTCTTTCTCCTATTAACTCTCTGAATCGTCTATGACATGCTCTATGTCCGTTTATGCTGAACTATTTTTGTATCTTCTTCTTGCTTCTTGCTGATTTTTCCTTACAGTATTCCCATACTTTATGCTCAGCTCCCTTCTTCCTCTTTTATGATTTTTGCTCCCTATTGCAGCTGTGACCCCTTACGTCCTGATGAAGACCTAGTTGCTACCAAACGGAAGAGGAGCTGTGGATTTCCCTTGGCTCCACCATCACTAGTCTGTGGAGTACCTCAGCCGCATGCTGGCAGCTCAATGCTTGGGTCTGTCACACATCTCCTCAAGTAGCTTTGACATAACAAGATGACATCTTCTAATTCCTAAAGCTGAGATGTGGGGAGAAAGCAGTTTCCATCACTTGGTATTTTCCTCGGCTCGGGGAGGAATTCTTCCCAGGACTTTCAAGCCCCTCCACCATCCCTCGTCCCGAGTTTTTCTGTGAAGAGAAGGAATTACTTCAGGTGAGATTAGGAAAATGGACCCGGGTAACCTCTTCCCTCTGTCTGTCTGCAGAATGGAGAATCTTTTCATCATCCTCTTCCAATTCTTTTTGTTTTGTTTTGTTTTGTTTTGTTTTTCTGAGACAGGGTTTCTCTATGTTTCCCTGGCTGTCCTAGAACTCACACTGTAGACCAGGCTGGCTTTGACCTCACAGAGATTCGCCTGCCTCTGCTTCCAGGATTAAAGGTGTGTGCCATATCATGCTGCTGGTCAGACTGAGTCCCTAATCAGGACACACAGGGACGAACACTGCTGCCCAGCAGTGAGCTTGCTCCTTTTCAGTCGATCCAAACCTGGTGGTAGTGTTGCCCACACTTAGGCTGGGTCTTTCTGGAACATGTTATCATATTATTATAATTGTCATAACTGAAACAGGATCTCACTGTGTTCCTGTCTGGCCTGGAACTCACTATGTAGACCAGCATTTCATCCCTGGCTCACAAAGTCTCATTTTTATTTCATAATGAAAAATCCATTTTGGTCAACTCTAAAAATCATTATTGTCTTAACAAATCTCATGAGTGTTCAAAAGTCCAAAAATCTCTTCTGAGACCCAAGGCACACTTAACTGTGAGCCTTTCTCTACAAAATCAAACACAGGTTACATACTTCCCATATAAATGGCACAAAGCAAACATTCACATTCCAAAAGGGATGAATGGAGGCATAGTAAGGAAAGATTGGACCAAAGGGAGACCAAAACCCAGTAGGAAAAACAACCGAATCCTGCAGCTCTATGTCAGGCTTGCCAGGTTTGTGCCGGAATCATTCAGGATCCAGAGGGTCTGGGTGGCCCCACGACGACCGCTCCGCTGCCGGCGGCACACATCACCTCTTTCGGACCAGCTCTGCTCATGCAGCTTTTTCTCAACACACACCCCGTGGGCCTGGCTCTTCCAACAGCCTGGGCTTTTAGACAGGATTCATCTTCACAGCCCTTCTCAGTAGCCTCTCAGAGCCTCCTTGTGGAAAGTCTGACTCGGTCAACGTTGCTTGTCTTCAACAGCCTTAACACAGGCCTCCCCCTCTTACAGCTATCATGTCTGTGAAACCAGTACCAGACTGCCCAGGTCTGCTGATGGCTGAAGCCTATCTGGCCCTGTGGCTTACAGCTGCATCTATCTGTGGGCTTTCCAGGCAGATCCTGGGAACCTTTCTCAGAAGGTTTTTTCAAGTGGGGAACCCTCCAGTGTGCACTGCCCTTTCAAAGAAATTTGTGTTTTCACAAAATGGAGCCTCAGTCCGGAAGCTGGGATGGATGAATTCAAGGGTAGCCTGGTCTACAGAGCGAGTTTCAGGACAGTCTCCAAAGCTACAGAAAACTCTGTCCCGAAAAACAAACCTTTCTGGAAATCCCCTCAGAGACATATCCAAAGGGCTGGTACTAGGGTGATTTTTTTCTTTCAGATTTATTTGTATCACTTTAATTATGTGTAAGTGTGTTGGGGGTGGGGCACACATGAGTGCAGATGTCCATGGAGTTGGATCTTCTGAAGACAAAGGTACAGGCAGATGAGAGCCACCTGTTGTGAGTGCTGGGGTTTAAACTCAGACCCTCGGAAGAGCAGAAAGTGTCCATAACCCCTCACTGATTACCTCCCCTGGGGGTCTAGTGCTTAGGGTTTTGTACTTTCATTCACTGAGCTACACACCCCACCTCCATAATGATTTTAAATCTCAGCAAAACAACAATGAGGGTCGATGCTCACAGGAGTCCTGCATTTGGGGAGCATAACCCTCCAAACCACCATACATAATGAATTGTGAACACTGGTTCATAAGTAGGGAATAAATTTTTGAGTGGCAAAAGAAGCTTTCAGTGAAGGAAAGCATGTAGCTTTGGGCTGTAGACTTTAGAGTGTATTGACTTGTTTTAAAGAAGTCATATTACATCCGGTGGGTTTTGTAGTTGCCGCTTTGAACTTTTCTGAAGGCTTTAAGTCATAAGCCGCCTCTGATTTTGATCTTGGCAGGTCACTAGCTTATGTCAAGACATTGCAGCTCGTCTGTCCACCAAGGCAAAGCACGTGCTGGGCCTTAGGCAAAGATAGACCTTAACAGTGCCACTCTCAGAGGGCGCTCAGGGAGCTCCATACTCAATTTTCAACTCTGGCCCTGGTGTTATGAATGCAGCCTGTGTGAGCTTTGTGGAAACTTCAGAAGTTATTCGGAGACTCTAAGGGATGTAATGAAAGACCCCTGCCCCTTAGCCCTTTCTTTCTCAAGTTTGCCTCCTCCTCCGGTCGGCGGCTTCCCGGATCCCCACCCCCCGCCGGCCTCCACTCCCCCCGCCGCCCGCCGCACACCCGGCCCGAGGACGAGCACCAGGTGGGCCAGCACGAGAACGAACACCAAGTGAGCCGGCCTGGAGCCCTGCCCCTGAGCCCCCGCCCGATGAGAAACACTCCGTCCCAAGGTCTCCGCCCCCAAGGTCAGCCATCAGGATTCGCCTCATTTGAATAACCCTGTATAGCGCCTCATTTACATTGACCAATGGGAATAGCTCTGTACAATGCCTCATTAGAATTATCCAATAGAATCCCTGCTTCTAGCTTGCGCCTTTTTCCCTATATAAGGATCCCTTTCCCTTGGCTCGGGGCGCTTGGCCTCACAGAAGCTAAGTCGCCCGGGTACCCGTATCTCCAATAAAGCCTCTTGCAGTTTGCATCCAAGTTCGTGGTCTCGCTGATTCCTGGGTGCGGGTCTCCTTCTACGAAAGTACCTCTTCGGGGGTCTTTCAGTAGAAAGCAGCACAGCCAAAGCAAGGGTTTGAGGTCAAGGAGAAAAACCACGATTTCCGTTGTGTTTCTTTTAGGAACCGGTAGGCAGAAAAACAGTTAGTTTTCAAATATAAACTGGCCAAATTCATGTAAACTTCAAGCCCTTGTGGAAAATGGCCTTAAGTTATTATTGCCAGCTAGGCAGTGGCGGCACACGCATTTATTTATTTATTTATTTATTTATTTATTTATTTATTTGTTGAGACAGGGTTTCTCTGTGTAACAGCTCTGGCTGTCTTGGAATTCACTCTGTAGCAAACCCACAGAGCTCCTTCTGCCTCTGCCTCCCAAGCGCTGGAATCAAAGGCGTGCGCCACCACTGCCAGTAAATACGCTAATGCTTGTTGTGATATGAATCTGGACCATCTCCTCCCCAGGCTCATGTGTTTAAATGCTTGGTCACAGTGATCTTGGGGAGGTTATGGGGCTGGGCTCTGGCAGCAGACATGGGTCACGGGGAGCAAGTCTTGAAGGTTATATTAGCATCTGGTGCTGGCCCACACTGTCTTCTTCATGGTTTGCTATGTGAACAGTGTTCACTCCTACAGCTGTGGACAAGCCAAGCTGCTGCGGTGCCCGCACATTCGATGTTGTGACTCACTGTGCTCTCTAGAACTGGCAGCCAAAACAAATCTCTCCTCCCTTAGTACCTTCTATCACAATGGTTCTCAACCTTCCTAATGCTGCAACCCTCTAACAACAGTTCCTCATGTTGTAGTGACCCCCAACCGTAAAACACTTTGTAACTGTAATTTTGCTGCTGTTATGAATTGTAATGTAAATATCCATGTTTTCTGTTAGCTTAGGCCACCCCTGTGAAAAGGTCTTTGATCCCCCAAGGGGGTCTTGACCCACAGGTTGAGAACTGCGTTCTACTAGGCTTTGTCACGAGAGGTAACTCCTGTACCGCTCAAACAACTGTCAATTAGAAATCCTTTGACATGAAGCCATGCGAATCCTGATGCATCATCTATGTCCGCTGTGCTTTCAAACCTGGTGGCATAAAGTACTTTACAGTGGTTTTCTATTAATATTTTTTATATTCTATTTATTTATCTTGTGTGGATGTGTGGGTCTGAGGGCTTGTGCATACCATGGCATGAATGTGGAGGTCAGAGAACGACTTGATGGACTGAATTCAGGTCTTGGGGTTTGGCTGCAAGTGCCCCATAGCCTTTGAACCATCTCACCAGCCCATCCTTTTAATATTCTCAAACTGTCATGTAAAAGGAATCACGTCCTCCTTTCATTCCTGATATTAACATATCCTATTTCTCTCTCCTGCCTTGCTATTGGCCATTCAGCTCTTTATTAGACCAATCAGGTGTTTTTAGACAGGCAAAGCATCATAGCTTTACAGAGTTAAACAAATGCAGCATAAAAGAATGCAACACATCTTTGCATCATTAAAACACATGTTCCACAGCATAAACAAATGCAGCACATCTTAAAATAATATTCCACAACACGTCCTGGCAGCCAGGGCCTTTACCCCAGGAGACATCTTGCTGGCCTCAAGTTTCTCTGTTTTGACATCTATCCTGTTTTCACTGATCCGTCAACAGTTTATTTCTATCTTACTAAATTATGTTTTGTATTTTCTTGTTATATATCCTACTTTGTAAGATTGATTCCTTTTCTTTCCTCCTCCTCCTCCTCCTCCTTCTTCTTTTGTTGTTTTCAATACAGGGTTTCTCTGTTTAGCCCTGGCTGTCCTAGAACTTGCTCTGTAGACCAGGCTGGCCTTGAACTCACAGAGATCTGCCTGCCTCTGCTTCCCGAGTTCTGATATTAAATGTGTGTGCCGCCACCACTCAGCTTCTTTTCTTTCTTTTAAATTAGCTTTATATGTGTATATATGTATGATGATGTATGTGAGAGTGGAGCACATTAATTAACTAATTATGTGTATATGATGTATGGTGCATGTGAGAGTGGACCACAGATGCCATGGTGTGCGTATAGAGATCAGAGGACAACTTCAGGTATCAGTTCTCTCCTTCCACCATGTGCTCTAGAAATCAAAATCTGATAGCAAGGCTAGCTAGTACTTTTACCTGCTGTGATGGCCAATCTTCATGTCCACTTGACTGGATCTGGAATCAAGAAAAGGTCAGGGCCTGGCACTCCTGAGAGGGACTTCCTTGATCAGATTATTTGAAGTGGGGAGACCCACCCTAATGTGGCAGTTCAGATTCAAAGATGGAAAGATTCTTGTTTGCCTGCTTAGCTTCACTCTTGCTGACAAGGTCATCTGTCTTGTTGGCTCTACTGCTCCATTCCTTCACTGATATTAGAATCATCTTCACTGGGCTTCCAGTGTAGACAGAGCATCAGCAGCTCTCTGGGAATCCTCCAGGAACTCTCCAAAACTTCAGGGACAGATTGGGACTGCTGAGACATCCCGCCTAGTGGATTGAGCAGCTACGGGATTCTTGACCTGTGCAGTGTCAGAGAACAGTTACTAGACTAGACAGATTGTAGGGTGTGTGAGTGTATGAGTGTGTGTGTGTGTGTGAGTGTGTGTGTATATGAGTATGTGAGTGTGTATGAGTGTCTGAGTGTGTGAGAAAGTGTGTGTGTATGAATGTGTGAGTGTGTGAGTGTGTGTGTTTGAGTGTGTAAGTGTGTGTGTGTGTGAGAGAGAGGGGGGGGTAGAGAGAGAGATTGAAAATTTCATCCTGTCAGTTATATTCCTCTAGAGAACCTTGACTACCACACCTGATGAGCCTTTCACCAGCCCCCGACTCTTTTTCCACACACTGTTAAATACATCTTTCTATTGGATTTATTCTAGTTTCCCAAATTTTGTTCAGCTTTCTGGAGCTGCAGATTGGTCCTTCTCACCAAACCTGAACATTCTTGGACATTTTATCTTCAAGTATTTTTTCATTTCCATTCTAACTATTATTTTCCTACTTGGTCTCCACTCAGATATGTTGGGTGTTTTTATTGTTTTCCATGTCTGCTAAGCTTTTACTCAGATTTTCCAACTCTGAGTCAATGGACTGCATTATGAATAAATTCTCTGAATCTATTTTTCAGTACACTGGTACTCTCTTCAGCTGCATCCATTTTACCATTTAGTAAGTTCATGGGGCAATTTAAGGTTGTTTATTTTTCACTTATAGAAGTGGGAGGCCCCAGGGCTGCAGCACAAGCATTGGTGAACTGCCTGACATGGGTTCTGGGAATCAAATTTGAATCTTCTAGAAAAGCAGTAATGTGTTCTTAAACTCAGAGCCTTCTCTTCAGCCCCCTCCTTTGTGCTCTTTAAAATCTGCCTTGTTATTCATAATTTCTTATTTCCTACTCAGTTTGTTGCTCTTGCTTTTATTTCCTTCTCTCTTCCTTTTTTCCACCCTGTTTTCATTTGTTTTATGAGATGGGATCTCACGTAACCCAAGCTGGATTCAAACTTGCTAGTGGTTGGCTGCAGAGGACTCACTTCTAAAATGGCTTGCTCACAGGCCTGATGAGTTAGCATGGTTTCTTCAGGAGGCCTCAGCTTCTTGCTTGCCTCTCCATGGCAGGGCTTGAGTGTCTTCACAGTATGGCAGCTGCTTTCCCTCAGAATGCCTGTTCCACTAGAGGTCAGAGTGTGTTAAATGCCAGTCTTGGAGTTAGACAGTCATTGCTGTGGCACACTGCTTCCTCTATGACTCTTTCATTGAGGAACGGCACTACAGGTAACAGTGAATGCCAGGGTCAGGGGTCACCAGATGGCTGCTGTTGTCTTCCTTCCTTCCTTCCTTCCTTCCTTCCTTCCTTCCTTCCTTCCTTCTTCCTTTCTTTCTTCTTTCTTTCTTTCTTTCTTTCTTTCTTTCTTTCTTTCTTTCTTTCCTCTCTCCCTTCCTCCCTCTCTCCCTTCCTTCCTTCTCTTCTTCCTCCTCTCCTCCTTCAACTCTTCTTCTTCCTCCTCTTGAGACAGTTCTCACTGTGTAGCCCTTGTCGGCCTGCAATGTATTACATAGACCACACTGGCCTTGAACTCACAAGGATCTGCCTGCCTCTGCCTCCTGAGGTGCTGAAATTATCCAAGGACATTTTTCCTCATCCTGACCAGTATCATCTCCTATTAAATTTTAGGCTTATCTCTTGATCCCTATAATCTGTCCATCAAAGTGGAAACCAAGACCTAGGGTTGGCCTGACAGCCTTGGAATGGAAACTAGGACAATTAACTTGCAGAGTTCTCATTTGGAAGTTTTGACCAAACAGCCATGATTTTCCTATTACTATTATGTTTAATTACACATATGGATATGTGTGGATATGTGGGTGTGAGCGCAGGTGTCCTGCCTGCCAGAGGTGCGGGATACCCCTGGAGTTGGAGTTACAGTCCAGATTGAGATGCCAGAAGTCCTGGAACTCATTTCAGGTCTTCTGCAAGAGGAGCAGAGTTCTTAAACACTGAATCCTCTCTCAATCTGATTTTCCTATTACTAGACGTGTAACTTTGAAAGGAATCTGTGTCACTTTTAACTTCAACCTACCCTCTAGTTTAC